CATATGTAAGAAAACTTCTTATTTTTTAAGATGATGAAATTTTATGAGAGAAAAATGACGTCAAATTCAAATGGGTTAGAGCATCTCCAACCGATATGTCAAAAGTATCATATAGACATTTAACGGCTAGAAATAACATCTCACATAACTCCAACTGAATTGTCAAAGTTGATGTGGAATGAAGGCTGGAGGTTCAGCCTTTACTTTTGACATCCCAAAAGCAAGATGTCAAATGAATATTTTATTATTTTTTAAAGACAGTTGGCTGTTACTTTCATTTATTATTTTCCTTTTTTATTTTTTTCTTTATCTTGAATGATTTGATTGTTACAATAATTATTTATTTGACATATCGGGAGGAGTGTAAAACTGTGTAAAAATGTCAAATTGCCATATCAGCCATTAAATTTAAATTTGATGTTTGGTATTTGACATCTCCCTTAAAGATGCTCTTAGGGATTTTCATTTTCATTTTAAATTGTTGATATTACTATGGGAATGACACATAGATGGTGACAACCTATAAATGTCAAAAGATAAAAAAACCTGGTTTTGTTTGGATTAGGTGGTTTTGTAATAGGCAAAAAAATCGAATCAAACCAAATTAATTGCAGTTTGGTTTGGCTTGGATTGATAACGAAATAGTAGGGATAAGATTAAGGGCTAGTTTTGCGTTGTTGTGCTTTAAAAAAAAACTGCTTATGCTGTGCTGTGAAAAAAGCTACTAAGCGTTTGGTAAACTGTTTTTGAAAAACTGCTGTGAGTAGTCAAAGTGTTTAGTAAATTTTTATCAAAAGTGCTTTTAGCGTGTATAATAACCAAAAAGGACATGATGATGAAACTGTTTGCTATTTTCTTCATTCTTTTTCTACTTTTTTTTATATAAAAAACCAACTTCACTACATAAATTTTTTTCTTTTTTTAATTTACACTTTTTTTTTGTCAAAAACTTTAATCTACAATTAGCATACATATTTTACCATAAATTATAAATTACTATTGTAACAAAAGTAGTTCTAAATATTGTTATATTAATAATAACAATGTCTTTTGAGGGTTTCGAACATAACAAATATACAAAAATTGTTCAATTTTAAAATGCCTCAATAGATCACTACAATATAAAAGAAGCTAATTAGATGCATTCATTAAACTTGTAGCGATGCTATTTCTCAATGCATTCATTAGCTTCTTTCTTTTGTGAACAATAAATTCAGGTCCAAATCTGCTATTGCCCACACCATACATATATATATTCAAAAATTGTTTCTTTCATAAAACTTGAAGATTCAATAGTAATTACACAGTTTACCAATCTTGACTCCAACTATATCCATACAAAATACCATATCCATAAAATTAAACTATAATTAGAAATAGAGGAGCTACATGTGATTGCTCCTAAATTCTGCCCATTCTCATCAGGGGCGGAGCCACATTGGGACCAGTGTGGTCACGGGCCCCCACTCAATTTTTTTATATTTTAAAAATAATATATTGTTATGTATTTCTATATGTATATTATTTCAAATACTTTACGTTTTGATATGTACCTACAAGTGTTGTGACGGATCTATTAAGGCACAAGGAGGTGCTTCAAATTGCCCATTTGCTCAGTTGGTATTGGTGTACTCTAGGTGTACAGATTATCTTATTTCCATTTTCAACATTTAAGTAAATGTCTTTATCCTTTTACTTTCATTTATTTTTATATTACTCATTTTACTTAAGTTTACAATGTAAATAAGGAAGTACCCCATACAGTGTTGAGCTTAGCTACTGGAGAAAAGTCTCTGTGTAATCTACTCCATATGTCTGAGTATACCCTTTTGCTACCAATCTTGCCTTGTAACGGTCAATGGAACCATCAGCCTTGTGCTTCAAAGTAAACACCCATCTGCACCCAACTGCGTTTTTTCCTTTTGGTAAAGGAACTAACTCCCAAGTAGCATTCTTGTTCAAGGCTTCCATCTCAACATGCATTGCATCTACCCAGTTTTGATCAGATAGAGCATCCTGCAACTTAGTTGGCACACATACACTAGATAATTGACACAAATATGATGCATGTATATCAGGAGAATATTGCACTTTAGGTAAACGATGAGTTGACATATAATGGTTAACGGGATATTTAGACTTGGCATGTATATCAGGAGAATATTGCACTTTAGGTTTCCCACGGGTAGTACGTGGGGGCAAAGAATAGGTAGGCACATCACTAGAAAGTACCTCATTATCACGACTTGATTGAGGCAATGGCAGGGCAGAGGGGGGTTTTGTATCAATTTCATCTATACGAGAGTCGCTAGTATCACTGTTATGTCCTTCTGAGAGACGCTCGAAAATTCCAAGAATATCATCTGGCGACCGATCGTGACATTCCTAGTGACTGGTCGTGACATTCCTGGCGACCGGTCGCGTCACTCGTATCGGTACTGTTGTCGCTCGTCGAGGCAAGTGACCGGTCGCTTTCTATGTGCGACCGGTCGTTTCCAAGCAGATTCATTAGTGACCGGTCGCTCACTTCTACGCCACCGGTCGTATCCAGACAGATTCGTTCGCGACCGGTCGTTTCATCCTCGCGACCGGTCGCTTCCTGTTCACCAGAAATTCCTTCTTCAGGTCCAAGATCTTCCATATTTTCCACTCCGAAACTCTTCAATTCACTCCCCCTCTCCCCCTGAATTGAAGAGGAGGGAGAAACATAATAGGATACTTCTTCATGAAAGGTGACATCCAAAGTGACATGTACCTTTTGAGTAGGCGGGTGATAACACTTATAACCCTTATGAGTAGTAGAATAACCAATGAAGACGCAACTGAGAGCACAAGGATCAAGTTTACTCCGTTGATGGGAGTAGACATGAACATACACAACACACCCCGAAACCGGAGGAGTAAGAGCACATAACACATCAAGTGGAGTCTTGAAATCAAGAACCCGACTAGGAGTACGATTAATCAAGTAGGCGGCAGTTAAGACACCATGTCCCCAAAGGTGATGAGGAACAGACATATCCAACATCAGAGAGCGAGCAACTTCAAGTAACTGACGATTCTTCCTTTCAGACACATCATTCTGTTGATGTGTGAATGGAGTGGTAGTTTGGTGAATGATATCTTGATCACGAAAGAACTGGGTCAAGGTATGATTCACATATTCACCGCCATTATCAGTCCGAAATACTTTACCACGAGCATGAAACTGAGTAGACACCATGGCACCAAAGTCAGGAAGAATAGAGGCAACATCATGTTTATTCTTCATCAAATGCACCCATGTTAAGCGAGTGCAGTCATCAATAAACGTAACAAACCAACGGAAACCATGAGAGAAGTCACACGAGCAGGACCCCAGACATCAGAATGTACTAATTCAAAAGGCAAAGCAGCTTTATTATTACTTAAGGGAAAAACAGTACGGTGGCTCTTGGCCATTACACAAGTCTCACATTTGAAACTAGACTCATCACACGAACTAAATAACGAAGGCAACAAATGTCTAAGATAACCAAACGACGGATGTCCTAAGCGACGATGCCATAACCAAAGTTGTTGCTTGTCTTTGACACTGCCACTTGGAGCTTTATTAGCGACACAATCACGAACTGCTGCAGCCGGCAATTGTAAGTAATACAACCCCCCTATCCGTTTACCATGCCCAATCTTCTCGTGAGTCCTGAGATCCTGGAAAAAACAATGGGTAAAATAGAAGGTAGCAGACGCGTTAAGTGTATCAAGTAAACGCCCAACAGATAACAAATTGCAATGAATATTGGTAACCAAGAGTGCATGAGACAGGGGTAAAGAAGGAGTGAGATGGATGGTACCTTGACCGGTAACTGGGGAAGGTAAACCATTAGCACTAGTAATATAGGGGTCACGAGGGTTATGCGATGATAGGCTTTTTAGTACCTGCGCAAACAGTGTTAAAACTCCTATAAAACTTGCAAGAATGACAAGGTTGTTGTAGTTTCAAGTACACCAGCAGTTCGTTCCTAATTGGAGTGGTTGGTGTATTCCATACTTCTTGCAAGAATGAGAAGGTTATTGTAGTATAAATGATTCTCGCAAGGTCGTTCTCCGCAGGGATTATTAAATAACTCATAGCAACCAAATTCTAATTAATTATTGTAGAAGAGAAAGTTGAGATGTTTGATTTTAAGACCTTAACTTAAAACGAATTTAACTAATAAAAATAAGGCAATATGCAAACTTAAAGCTAAGGGCAAGAGAAACAGTTGTGTTTTTAGAAATCAAATTAAGAAAGCACTAGGGATCCGCCGTCACCTTAACAATTCTATATAGTTCTCCCAATTACTTATGACCTATACATGCATATTTCGAAGGTTAGGTATTCCTAATATATGCCTACTTGGACCCCCAACATAGAGCGTATATCACACATGCAATCCGTCTGTGGTATTCAGATCAAATCTAAACATACATGACTCATTAAGTTCTGTGAAACCTTTTGAAAAACCATGCAACCCTTAAGACGTGGTATTCATCCTAAGTGAACTTGCACATATTAATCACAAGAAGCCTTCGTCAATTTCAGGGACCGACCTCCGACCAAAACTGCATCAAATTACTTTTCTAAACATCCTAATGGTGATCAAGCATCAAGACACTTAGATAGTTTAACCCAGTGATGAATAATTTGAAAACCTGCATGCATATAATCATAAGCAAATTGGACAGAACGACATATTCTTGCTAAGGCTCGTGGCCTCACCCTAGCAAAAGAGAGTTAGTTACGCATGTTCATAATCAAAATAATCAAGTTCTTCATTAAAATAATAAAGATCGAAAACACCTTGAAGTAGAAGTTCTTCAAAAACCCTAGCAAAAGTCGCGTTCAAAACCCAAAAGAGAGAGACCTAAATTTGTTGTGAAAAAGAACTTAAATACTTCCTAAAACCTAGCTGCCCACAACCTGCTTTTCTATCCCCACAAGGAAACTAAATAAAATAAAATAATGCCATGACATAAAATCCAAATTGGACTAGGAGAATCTGCCCCCAATCTGCCCAGCCACGTTTTGGCCTCAAATCTGCTCCAAATCCGGCCCAGTACAGCTCGTTTTAAAGATAAAAACGTTCTGAACACTTCTCCAGAAGGCCACGAATCCATCAGAGGTCATATCGGGCTCCAAAAACGCCATAAAAGCCCAAAACATCACTTTCCAGCACTGCACACTGCTCCTTTATTTTATCGCCAGAAAATAACCGCTTGATAGAAAAGTCTGAAATTTTGATACGATCAAGCCAAGTGACTCAGGAACGTCGTCCAACTGGAATTACTCCAAAATTCATCCATTTGATTATGTTTTGCTCCAGAAAAAGTCGAAAGTCCTATATTGGAAATATAATTCAAAGTATCAAAATTCTTCCAAAATATCAACCAAAATATACTAAGAATGGGGCTAACTATATAATATAAAATATGCCCATCATGCGACAACTCATCAAACATATTATCATTATAAGTCATATGATCAGAAGCACCAGTGTCAATTATCCAAGTAGTAGAACCCATACCTGGCATAGTATCAGAAGCACACAAATTTGCAGATGTAGTCGGAGGATGGGCCTCATCAGGAATCACAGTGTAAGTGGCCTTAGGGCCATACATACGAGCTTTGTAGTCAGCAAACCAATCAGGGTAACCATGCTCCTTAAAACACTTCTCAAAGTAATGATTCCCATTACAATGGCGACATTTAGGCGGACCTTCAAGAGAGCTAGGAGTAGAGCCAGAAGGACGAGACCCAGTAGAAGAACCAAATTTTCTGGACGGAGAGCGACCGGTCGCTTCGTGCTGGGCGACCGGTCGTTGACGAGCTGGGTCAACCTTAAGAGCCAGCGATCCTCCTCCAAGCATAGCGGACTGACGGGTGTCTTCCTCCATAACCATAGCATAGGCTTCGAGAGGAGGCGGGACAGGACTAAGAGCAAGAATACGGCTACGGACACCATCATACGGTGGATCAAGTCCGCCATGAAAATCATAAACTCGATCGGCTTCAATCTTTTTCAGACGACGAGCCCTATCAGTAGAACAGCTAAACTCATACGGACGTAGACAATCAATCTCTTGCTAGATAGCATGGAGTTTTTCATAGAACATTTTCACAGATTCACCATTTTGACCTGTAAGTATGGACTGCCGTCGGAGTTGAAACAAACGAGAATTATTCTGAGTCAAAGTATAGGTCTTCCGAGCAGCCTCCCATATATCAAAAGCAGTA